CAAACAGTCCACGTTTAGATTCGAGTTCGGTGCATGCCTAATTCCTGGTAAACGCCAATAGAAGCCTGAGCCGTTCTATGAAATATGCTGTATTTGTCGGACATTTCTTTCCATTTATAAGTATTGAGTATTCGCTACGAGGATCATGACATAATGATAATCCAAAGTGTGTCACTTCAATGTTTCATAAAAAAAATAGATGTTTTTTCTCTCACTTTCACTCTCATTACCGACAGCATTCATTTTGTCTGTTTTAAATAGTAGTGAAGGATGTGCAACTTGATAATATTTGGATTCTCTGAGCACCAGTCGTATAAATTTTTCCTATCAGTCTTTCCAGCATCCTTCTCGGCAGACATTTGTCTTTTTCACATCGCATCGAAAGGCGTTCTTCCTATGTTTCTTCTATTACTGTAAGTGATAATATAGATTGTCTTTTCCAGATGGGAACAAATGGACTGAGTTCGACTATTCATTGAATAGTCGATTCTTCTTAATGAGACATAATAATAGATTGAAAAGAATGAAAATGAGAAAATTCATTTTTCTGTAACGTCGCATACTTCACATTAAACATATTCTTTTCAACTTTATTACGATCCATCTCTCTAAATAAATGTCATCAGCACAAAAAACTCGCATTTCATATTTAAAAAAAAAGAAAATGTAAAAGAGTCTGATAATAATTCAAACAATATTGTAAATGATAATACAACCAATATGCATAGTATATGTCATGATTACTGGAAACCAACAATACCATCCTATTCTGAGATGAATACAAGAACTAGAGGTGTTTTTACTATACGACCATTTGTCTATGGAAAATATGCACCTGATCAAAGTGAAAGTTTAGAAAAACATCAAGAATCTACTTATCATAAAATAGCTGTACAAAATTTATCATTTAGACAGCAAGAAAGATCAGTAGCACAGTAATTATTTAATGTTAGTGAATTTAAACGTCAAGAAAATCGTGAAGTATAGTGAAGTAATAGATAAACAAGTCTTAACAAAAGTTCGTGAATCAAGAATTATTTCAATTATGGTTGATGAAGGCACAGATATAAACTATCATAAAAACTTATCAATTAGCATACGTTATTGTAATCAAGATACAAGCCAGTGTATTCTTGCTCTGCATTGACCTTGCCTGAGACCGATACGAGATGCATGATGCTTTTTTAGAAAAATCTGCTTACGTGTAATATTTGCACTTTCTAGGTGAGCCAACACAATCATATATTATTTTATTAAAAATAAAAGATAAAGATGCACAAACAATATTTGATATGATTGTTAAAGAATTACAATCTCATGTGAAGATATACATGAAGTACAAGAAAGTTTATTAACATTGAAGTCATTATTCAATTTTATTAATCGATCATCAATTAGATTAGCAAATTGTAATGATATTCAAACATTATTAAAACATCCGCAATTAACATTAATTCAACCTAGTGATACACGATGGTTATCATATTCTCATTCTATTAATGCTGTTATTCGTTGTTATGAACGATTAATGATACCATTTTAATTTTACAAGATCAATCAATAATATGAACAAATAAAGTTAGTTTAGGATAATAACTATTTTTTGATGATAAAATTATATCAAATATAACAGCTCGATTTGAATCAAATGTATTTAATATAATCAAACAACAGTACCCTAATGATTTTAATAATGACTTATTCGCCGAAGGGAAAGTATTTCGCAAATATTTATTTACACAAAAATAACAACAAATATCTACAATTTTAACATAACGACAACAATGTATTAATTTAGTTAAAAATGGAATGATAAGAGACATGTATCCACAATTATCATTAGCTACTGGAATATTTTTATGTGCACTAATTAGTACAGCAACAGTAGAACGTGATTTTAGTACAATGAATAGAATATTAACTGATTTACGATATCGTTTAACAACAGAACATTTAGAAGAATTAATGAGAATATCAATAGAAGGACCATCTGATTTAAATAATGATCTAAAAGATTTAATTATTGATTGTTAGAACAGAAGAAAAAGTGTAATGATGTTGTAAAAATAATGAATAAAAGTCTGTGTGCCTTTGCTATATAGAAAAAAACATGTAGCTAGCAGCCCTCCAAAAATTTCAACCGCCCACTCAAAAAATTAAATCTAGACAAAACACTATACCAGTACGGATCTAAGATTTTTATGATACGGCATAATTTTGATCAGAAAATATATTTTGAACTTCCTTCGAGGTGGTATTTCATCATTGGATTTCGTGAGAAAGTTTTCTCAAAAAACTACCAGTGTAAGCAACAAGGTTGTTTCTATTTTTAGGTCATGAAATGAATGGAAATTGGTATTCGTGGTCAATAGGTTCAACTCCAAACGATTATGTTTTGGCATGGCGTCATACTTATAATATATTATTAAACAAAGGTATAGATGCAACAAGACTTCAATGGGTTTGGAGTGTAAATCGTAAGGACTATGGTCAATATACTGCAGAAGAATATTGGGTTGGAGAAAATTATACACATTGGCTAGGAATTAATGGATTTAATGGGGGCTCAAGTGCAAATTGGAGTAAATGGGAATGGCCAAATGAAATTCTTGATAATATGATTGGTCGATTACACAACTTATCATCAACAAAACCGATGTCCCTGAATGCATATGCAACAGTCGGTGTACGAACAGGAAATACTACAGATGTGCAGTCAAAAAATGAATGGCTGCGCCAAATGTGTGATTATATAAATAACAATAACATTAAAATGGCATCTTATAATAATGTTGATGAACCTAACCAGGATAATATGGTGTTTGGTGGTACACACGGTGATGTAATTTGGAATAATTTTAACGCATATTCAGCCTATAGAAATTGTTTACAGTCTAATGATTGGATAGAACCAAACATTACTAATCCAAGACTTATTACTGATGAACAATTTGCTGGTAGATTCTCAACTGGAAAAAACATTTTAAAAAATCAAGATACTCTAAAAATATTCATGATTTCGTTATTGATTTTTGTCTTTTTGAGAATGTAATTATTCAATAAAATTTAATATTCAATTGTGGTTTTTTTAAACTAGAAAATTATGATCTGATTCATATGAGATTGTGAGTAAGACTCGCTGAAAATGTCCAAGGAGAGGTATGTTCATATTCTAATTTTTACATCTGTTTATCTCACAGATGAATTATGTTACCATATCTCTATGATCAACTAACTATTCTCCTTTCTCTAGTTGCTTTTACCATTCTCTCGTCGGTCAGTTATTATCAACAAAGAAAAATTCGAAGAACGATCCAATGGTCGATACTTGGGCGTGATTGAGGAGGTTAAAAAGCGGACAACTTGTTCTTGTTGCAGTGTTTTGTTTTGATAAAGTTTTTTATATTTGATGATAACCAAGTTGAGCATGCACACACGAAATGTTTATTAAGTTTATAAGTAACTACGATGTAGTTCAGGTGAAGGCAAGACATCATCATGACTATACATAGCCGACCGGTCGGTTTAGGATTAGGTATGCACCAAATCCAATTCCAATTCTGGAATTGGATTTGACTGGAGGGTGTGGGGTGTGGGTGTGGTTAAGGAGAAGATGAATCCACACCCCCGCCGACATCCACACCCCACACACCCACACCCACGCCCACACACACACCCACACCCCACACCCTACTATAATAAAGGCGATACTTGGGAGCATAGATTTATGTGAAAATTCTCACCCAAATGAAATCATTCACTTAATAAGCTTCATATTTTTTTTGGAAAAGAGGGTGTAGGTGTTAGACTTCTCTTCACTGAGACTGACACACACACCTATAATCTTCAATGTATTAGTTTTCTCATGATTTTAGTACCTAAAGCCTCGTTCACAAAGGTTAAAAAACTACGTAGATCTATTTATATATTTTTATTATTGAGTCCTTCACAATGGAATTATTTGAGTTTACTTCCAACATCGAGACTGGACAAAAAAAACACTCTCATTATATATTTTTCTCTCGTCAAACATCACACAACACTTCTACGCATATTTATTTTTCATTTTCTACATGAAGGACTCATAGAACGAAAAATACCGCATGTAGTCTTCTGAAAGCTATTATTGTCAACACATATAATTACTTTGTTTTTTGCATTCGCCATCCTACGACAAAACTGCATCGCACGTGTACTTTAATTTAAACTTAAATTCACTAGTACGTATGTATGAGAAATCAGTTTCATGATAATTAGGCAATAATAGTCGATGTATTGGCTTGTTAAGAAATTTTTGTCGTTTTTTTCGTATTTTCCC